CTATTTCAGATTACATGGTAATGCTGTCTCTTCGAACCAGTAATCCATGACTATCCATCTAATTAAAAGCAGTCGGGCAAACGTTTCGTAAGCCAATACCATGTATATTGGCATTTATGTTTTCTTTAATCATGTTTCACATGGTGCTAGACACTTCCCTTCCTTACCAACAGAAGTTTAACGCCAAAATGTGATGTGTTGTGTTTTCTTAGTGCGAGATGAAGAGAGTGACTTTCTCTACAGTGTATTAGAAATCAACCCTGTGTCTTGGAGATTCCTTTGAGCAACAGCGCCTTTCCCAGTAGGGCGTTAGAGGGTTTGCTAAGTACATTTTTTTACCCAAATGAAGCCAAGCTTGAGCAATAGGATGGCGCATATACTTGCACTCTTTTCCCTGCTTCCTCGTAACTTTTGAACCTGCTGACCAGTTTCTACCCAGTTTTCGCGGAAGGGAAGCAGTCACTGTGATACTAGCTTCTTATCGCCCTGTTGCTTACTGGCATCTGGGCAGAGGAATGAGGCTCTGGTGTTGCTCACCACCGAGGGTACAACTGGACATGGACCTATTGGAGCGGGTCCAGAGGAGGGCCACGAAGACGATCAGAGGGCTGGAGCACCTCTCCTATGAAGACAGGCTGAGACAGTTGGGGGTGTTCAGCCTGGAGAAGAGAAGGCTCCGGGGAGACCTTATATTAGCCTTCCAGTATCTGAAGGGCACCTACAAGAATGATGAGAGCGACTTTTTACAAGGCCATGAAGTGATAGGATGAGGGGTAACAGCTTCAAACTGGAAGAGGGGAGATTTAAATTAGATATTAGGAAGAAATTCTTTACTCTGAGGGTGGTGAGGCACGGGAACAGGTTGCCCAGAGAAGCTGTGGCTGCTCCATCCCTGGAGGGGTCCAAGACCAGGTTGGACGGGGCTTTGAGCAACCGGGTCTAGGGGAGGGCGACCCTGCCTATGGCAGAGGGGTTGGAACTAAATGGTCTTTAAGGTCTCTTCCAACCTAAACCATTCTATGGTTCTATGACTGCTGAGTGAGCTCAACATTTTGTAGACACCAAAGAGTCCGCATGAAGATGTTAAGGGCAGCCCAGACAGCATTGCTGGAGACTGCACTTAGTGAGATCTCCAGCAATGAGGATGCTTCCCGCTGCTTTCCAGAAGGAGCGGGAGCAGATCCTGGCCTGGGCCGTGGTTTCTGGCCGGGGCAGCCAAGCTGGCAGGCAGGGATGACTCTGGAACTGCGCTGTGTACAGCAGGAGCTCCGGCTCTGTGCCAGCCGCAGCCCCCAACGCTTCTTCCTCCGGGCTTGTGGTTAGCACAACATCTAGCTCAGCCCAGCCTGACCACAGCCTGTGCAACGCGCCCTCCTCCAGAGCAAAGCCTCAGTGTGCCGCTCCTGGTGGCTCTTCTTTGCTCCTATTTAGGACAAATGGCTCTTAAACAGCTGATATTTAAAAGGGGCTTTTATTGCCAAATCTCAAAGCTCTTTACAAGCAGGAGACAAAGTGCTGCCATTCCATGGGCTGCAGCAGCTGCTTTTCAGAGTCATCCACATTTGCTTGCTTGCAAACTCACTTCCTTCCTGTCACAGACTGTAACCTGGTGGCACAGCCCAAAACACAAGACTCACAGCCCAGCGCTCCATGCCCAGAGGGTTTTCAGGCACACAAAAAAAACAGCCTTAGTGCAGCCAGAAATTAGATGCAAGTTTAAATGTAAGTTGAAAGGAAGATTTTTTTAAAAGTGCATGGTGGCAGGATGTTTGCTGAAGATGGGAGTTGCTGTATGAGGTCAGAGCAGACCGGGATCCTGTCTCTGACTCTGACCAGCACTGCCATTTTTAGAGAAGCACGTAAAAAGACCCTCGCAGGCAATTGCAGGAGAACCCACTCTCCAGCCCTAGGCAGGGCCTGGCTCATGACCAGAGTGAGAAGATCAAGTGGGAAGAAAACTGCAGAAGGAACACGATGTGTTGTTTCCTGTAAAGTCCAGGTGAATCAGGCTTATGCCCGGGCTAGACATTTTAGGATGAAACTGCTAACCCTATTAGAAAAAATAGTTAAAACCAGTCTCTAACATAGCGTTTTCAGCAGTAGAGTTACTGGGTGCTACAGAGATTCTGCTTAAGTTATACCTATTTACAAGACATAATACAAATCTAGCAAGTTCTGTTAGTACAGCACATACAGTAATTAGCTGTAGCTTGTAAAATGATTTAACTTGCCCATTTCTTAACAGATATAGAGGTTTTTAATCTGTTAAGATTCCTACTGATGGGTATTCAGTAAAACGTCAGACATTTTATTCATTATAATATTCAGTATAACATAAAAATATACAGTAAATATAAGCACATCCTGTAGGTTTGGCTGTAACAGATAGGGATGTCTGGGTATTTTCATCAGCGCTTTGCCAGATGGGTATCCACAGAACACACCATCACAAGAAAACACCTCGAGAGCAAAAGCATTTGTGTACAAATTAGGGGACTGAGCTATCCCATAAGCTGTTTCTATTTTACTGGCGTTTCAGTTCCAGGCTTTGATTTGCCCACCCTGAAGTTTAGGACTAGCTTCAGCTTTGGGATATGAACCTGCACCCAGAGTTTGCCCTGGTTTGTGTGTATTCCTGTTAGTGTGAACTGTTTGTTTGGTTGGTTTTTTTCCCATCTAACTTATTTGTTGTTATAGAACTGCATCTTGAAAAAGCCTGCCTGCTCCCTGAAGCTGATGTCCCTCGACTTCCAGTGCACATCAGGTTCTGACAGCTCACATTCATACCACACAGTGTTCGGTAAACAAAAGTGCACATGCAGAAAAATACATTTAGATAGCAGATAGGCACTGAATATTGTCTGTGTTATTAGCCCTTGTCCTAAGTATGTCTGGAAAGGCGAACAAGACCCATGGTTCACATTGAATCTACAGCAGCAAATGACACAAATCCAGAGTTTGCTCCAGGCTGTGTGCCTGGGAGTGGACTTAGGACGTAGGAAACTTTTTGTCTCAAAGCAAAGCTTTTTTGGCACCTGAGTCCTGAGTGTTTGACTGTATAAAACTTTCCACATTGAGAGACCAACAAGTGAATTCCCATGCGGTGTCTATGGTTGTCTTGAGGGGGGGACAGACCACTGAAACCAAGGCTGGTTTAATCAAGAGAGGCAGAAGCATCAATACTAGTCACTACCTGTCTTGCTGGCTCTGAGTGGTGAAAAACAGGGTATTTAGAAGCCCCAAGCCAACATTTCTGTGCTCAGACCTGATGTACCCACCGCCTAGCCTAAGAAGAGCTCAAATGAAGCTTTACTGGGCTGCTGCTATGGAGGGTGTTTGCAGCCTGTTGCAGCCTTGCGGAACCTGGGAAATTATAAAAGAAAGAATAAAAGAAAAAGAAATGGAAGAGCGAAGAGTGCAGGGCTGACAAATGAGAAATAAGCTTATGTAGCGTGACACTCCTTAAAACCAGACTGGGAAGATCGCCCTTTTCTGTGCTTCCAGCATTTGGCTTAAGCAAAGGAGAAGCCCTTTGGGCTGTCATACGATTCTCCGAAGAGCAACTATAGAGAATAGGGGAGGGGACCCAGCTCAGGTACAGGGTTATGCACCAGCAGTGCAAAGACAGGATTTTATGACAGCTGTAATCGCTGAAGACCATGGGAACTGGGGGTGCGTTCAGAAGGAGGGCAGGGAAGCTGTGGGAATTGTGCCAGAGCCTTCTGCAATGCCTTCCTTGGACCATTCTGTAGCGATTCATTTTTATTTTAATATACTTAAGCCACTGGGACCAGCCCCAAAGTTGTGCGTGCAAAATGTCTTTCCCTCCATGTACTCCAATTACAGACGTCTGTGCCAAACCGCGGCTCTCGGGCTAGCGAGGACACAGCAGGTAGAGAGACCTGTTAAATAGGAAGAGGGATCTCATCCAGACCCACTGCCTGATATGCATGCTCCTGTCAGTTAACATCCCAAGACAACACAGAGAGCGAGCCTCCAGCTAAGGGAACACACATCCCTAAAGCTTCTTAATGATAGCTCTCCTAGGAAGCTCCTGGGGATCTTCCTGGATGCAGGTTCTCCAAACACCTGGGTAATTGCTCCCAACGACGATGAGAGGATTCAGAGTTACCAGATAGGTACGGTCCTCAATAATCAACGTACTGTGCTGCTAGAAGACACTCCTTCAAAAGCCAAGTGTAACCTCTTTGCCTCAATCTCCCCAGTAATGAAACAGGACTAATTAATACTTGCCTGGCAATGATGCATTGAGACTTGCGTTCACTCACGCAGTGCTTAGCACACCTAAAGCTCTGCAGAGTCAGGCTCAGAACAGTGCCTTCACACAGCTGCTCCAGATCTGAGGACACTGCTTGTAGTCAGGAGTTGGCCAGGTTTTTTTTGCCTCTGTGTGAGGTCACTTTTTAACTGTTGATGTGGTTTTATGTGTATCTTTGGAGAAGATTAAAACATTTATCTTTACATTCCTAGATGTCATTGGGCCAGGTGGTCTGGGAAACCTTGCCAGCAAGTGAACAAACACTGACTACATTTATCCTTAAGTGATTTAACTGGGACAACCAGATAGGTGCCAGTGTAATCTGGTATCTGCTTGTCTGTAAATACAGATAGACAGGGGCTTTTGCTAGAATAGCCATTCTGCTCCTTTCAAAAATCTGGCTTGGCTTGATTACCAGTAATTTTTAAGGCTTGATCCATTGAAAGGACTTTGGACAGAGTCCTTCAAGAGCATTCACATTTTTTAAACTGTTCAATGTCCTGTAACCTTCTGTTGTGCTAAGAGGATTAGAACCAGACTGGTATGTACAGCATGAAGAAAGAGAGAAAGATGCTATAACTGAAAGCTCAATTCTGTCCCATAAACATGGTGTGTGCACAGCAAAACACCACCTTTAAAACACTGGCCTAGCAATGGTACAAATTATAAATGGCAAATGTTTAGCTTTGATTTTGAGAAATAAGTCTCTTTGACGAGTATGTCAGGGAGCACTTCTCCTATAAAGAGTCACTAGATCCTTTTGCTTTTCTTTCTGTTTCTGTGTTGCTTCTCTTTTCAGTTCTCCAAGACCTTTAATTTCTTGCAAAACTTGCGTAGCTTGCCGAAGTTGTTCTACTGCCTCATTGAGCAATGTCTCTGCCATCACTGGGGGTCCATTCCCCTCCTGGGTCTGTTCCAACCCTTCACGTAAAACCTTCTGCAGAAGTTTTTCTGCCTTTTCCCTTTCATTAGCAACTTTCTCCTCCATTTTAGCTAAGCAGTGATGGGAATCCTTGGGGAAACCTTGCCTTGGAAGTGCTCTCTGTGTAGTTTTGGAATCAGACAGCAAGTCTCCCAGAGAAGAACTGCGAAGTTTGAGACCTGAAGTGCTTTCTACAGATGTTTTCTTCTCAATAGTTGCTCTTACACTCTCATGGCCTGTTTCTGTAGCTAAGGAAGTCTCTGTCTCTGTCTCTTCTGCTGAAGTTTGCTGTTCCTTCTCACCAGAGGCTCTCCCATTTCCTTCTTCAGTTTCAGCTGTTGGGGATGTGGACTCTGGTACCTCGACGGCTGAGATCCCATTCACCGGGGGCTTGGAGCTGCCAGACTCCACGTCTTCCAAAACCCCGGCTTCCAGGTCACCATCGCTGCAGTTCATTGTGGCTAGCATTTTTTCTGACAGAACCTTAGGAGGAACAGGAGGCTTTGTAACATCTGCAGCAGCAATCTCAACAAGGTTGTCTTTGCCACTATCTCTCGATGATTTCAAGTCTTCTGTGGTTTTAGGCTCAGTGACTGGTTGGTCCCAAGCAACTTTTAGCTTATCTGACACGCTCTTAGGAAGAGGAACTGGAGCTTTTGCTGTGCCCCTGTTGCTGACCTCAATGTGGTTCTCTCTGTTCTCCTCGCTTGGTGCTTGGGATCCTTCCACATTCTCCTCTGGGCTTACAGAGTCCTCTTTCTTAGCATTTACATTGTCCTTTGACGCTACGCCTTCCTTAAGCTTCTTATCTGGAGGCAATGGAGGAGACAGAGGTTTTTTATGTTCCTGGTCAGGAACATTGTTCTCTGCATCTTGGTTTTCTTTTGTACCAGTGGGTTTTGTAGGTGGCATGGGTGGCTTTGGAGTTTCTTTCTGAGGTGGTGCATTGTCACTTTCGCTGATAGTGGAATCAAAGTTGGGTGGTCCATTGTCTACTATGTCCAGATCTAGTCGCAGGATACCATCTGACGTAGACTTGGCAGCCTGAAAGACAAGAGAAAATTTTCTCAATATCTTTCCCATCGTCAATCCTGTGCTCCATCCTTTAACTTCAATTTAAAGTGCAAGACCCTCACAACCAGCATGGCAAGCGAGGTGTTGCTGCTTCACACATCCACCCTGTTTGAATTTCCATCCGTCGAAACTGCAAGAAGAATCTGACCAATAACAAAACCAGTGCTCTTAAGAGCAGCTTTCTCTATAGCTCAAGAGCAATCTATGGAGCTTGGTGTTCTTCCATGCTATCCTCTAAGAGCAGTAGCCAGCTCTACCAGTGTTAATCTAATAAGTGAAACCCAATGTGATCTGCTATGCTAAAATTTAATGAGCTATGATAATTACAAATACCAAACAATTCACCCGACAAAGCAAGTCAGGTCAAATCACATTCATTGCAGCATATCTTGAATGCATAGAGTGAAGCACTTCCATCCCCCTGCATAGCGCCGCTTTCTCCCCAAACCAACATGTTCTGTGCATGTCATGAGCGTTTTGCTGCTGAGCTATTTTCCGCCTCATAGTGCAGCAACTTGCATGAGAATATCAAAGCAAATAACCATAAGCAGTCAAGAATTAGGACAAAATCAGAGAGTTTATTTTACTACTTCCTTTGAGAAGAAGGTCTCAAAGCCTGCTCCACAATAACCTTATTTCTTGGGTTTCCTCTCCGTGCTAAGTGGTCAGCTCTACCAGACTTTAATTCTTTATCCTCTGGTAGCTGGATCCCTCTACCCCCTTCATTTACAGCGTGCCTATCCAAAGCACACCTGCCTTCTGCTTTTGGGACCGTCATATTTTTACTTGAACATAATAAAATAAGTTGATCTTTAGATCACTTGGCCGGGGATACTATTGTAATACCATTGCCTTCTGCTTGCTTCCTCCAACCCGATGTCATCCCTGTTTTACGGGGACCAAGCCTCAGCTAGTTAAACCTCCTTCAAACCACAGCCTGTGTGCAAATCACTACAGTAGGGGGGGTTTCCTAAAAAGGATGGACTTAGCAAAGACATTGCAGCATGTAAGCTCAGTGCCCCAGAGGGAGAAATGCAGTGACGGTTTCTGTGTGAGGGAACCCAAAACCACACGAAGGCGTAGCTGCAGCCAGGGCCAGACTCCTGCACTGCAGGGAGTTTAGTTAAAGTCTCTCTTTGCCTTTCCAGCCCATCAGAGAGAGATGCAGGAAAGCTGCATCCTGGCCTGGCCCTGACCTGGCCTTACCTGGCCTGCTTTGACACTGAAAATCATTGTTCATCCCATTTCCTGCATGATACTGCAGCCAGCAGCCATGATACACATCTTTCTGCAGGCTCTATCCCCTCCCTTTCAATTCCTGCTGCTGAATTTGTAAGCCAGTGTGATGGTTTAACCCCAGCCAGCAACTAGGACCACGCAGCCGCTCACTCACTCCTGACACCGCTCCTCAGTAGGGTTGGGAGAAGAGGGAGAAAAGGAGGGGAAAGAAAAAAACCTTATGGGTTGAGATAAAGACAGTTTAATAGAACAGTAACAGAAGAGGAAAATAATAATAATAATTTCTCCTGAATTTGGCTGAAGGTGAGAGGTCTTACAGGTATTCACCTCACAGGTATCTTGTGAGTTTAGTGAGCTGAGTAGGGGAGAGAGATCTTTTTAGTGCCTAGGGAAGGGCTTCCTACCTTCCTGAACCCATATTAGGCAACAGAGAATCCACACTTCATTACTGCTCTGACTTCTGTCATGTTTTCTTCTGTGGTTCTCTGGAGGAGTGGATGGGAATCTATGATTCATTTTCATGCATTTCTCTAGAAAAGACACTCTTCCTCCACTTCCATGCAAACTAAAAAGTCTCGGGGCATCTCATTTTCTGCACGAGCATCATCTGAGCACCGTGCAGACACATAAGTCAGAGTCTTGGAAGTTTGAAGAAAGAAGGTTTGATTTAAAAACCTTCCTTGGTTGAGATTAATGCGCTGCTAAAATATCAATCTGTCTGTGGCAACTTTTTCATAAATCACAGGAATCAAACATTAGTAAGAACCTCTCCCACAGAAATGAACTGCAGGTTTACTTTGTGGTGTTTTTTCTTTCTTTTTTTTTTTTAGGTGACAGATCCAGAAAATCAGTTAAGAGTAGACAGTCTAGTCCATAAAACTGCCTGGGAGAATAATGTATTCTGTTTCTGACCTAAGGAAGGGCTTGTAAGCTTGAAAGCTTGTCTGCTTTTTCCAGTTAGCTTAATAAAAAATACAGCTTCTTCCTACAGAGTGTGCAGTTCTTCTACCTTTAGACCACTGTGGCTACAAAATCATCACTTCTTAGAAAATAAATATAGGAGCTTTGGTCTCTTCTGATTAAAGTGAAACTATAATGGCTCTCACCAGACGGTGATGCAGCTCATGAGTTATGGTAAGCTAAATATATCGTAACGTGTTGCAGCAGCTACAGATCTATGGGAACCTGGAGCTTCGTTAGAGAGGTGCTGGCACAATCTTTCCTGGAGGAAGCTGATTCCCTTGACAGCTTTCTCTGGGCTCTCTGTACCTGGGGTTTTCCCTGGGGTTTTGTACCTAAGTGGAAGGGGCAGCTCCTGGTGATCCCAGCTGGGCAGATGGCTCACCCCAAGGTGGGTGCACTTACCTCCTTTAGGTGACTTCTCGTGGGTGGCCGGCGACCATGGGCCATTTTCACCCTGTCCCGAGTTACATGGTCCAAGGAAAGGCTCTCATCTACTTTCACCTTTAAAAGGCAGAAGAGGAGGGAAAGAAAAAAAGAAGAGGGTCATTACTTTCTCAAGATATGTCTGTAAAGTTCTCATGGTCGCAGATGAAGGGATGCAGCATTTGGATCCAGGAGGGTTTTGAATATTTCACCACTACAGTCTTTGCCTCACACCTTAGTTACAGCCTGCCTGCAAAGCCCTGCATGATGGATATTTAAGGTATCTGTCCTATACAGAGCCATGTTTAAAAGAGACTCCAAAGCAAAGCATCCAACCTTCAGAGGTTTGCAATCACTAACCTCCCCTCGACCTAAAGGGCAGGGAAGGATGGACACAAGGCAGCTTTGTTGTCCTCGCTTCAGCCCGGGCTTGGACCGGCTCCTGCATGTGGCAGAGCACAGCGTTGAAATTGCTGTTGCCATCTTAGAGGTGAAAGCTCATTAATAACCGTGACCTCACTGTGAACTGTATCAGCAGCGCTTCGTTACAGACCTTCGCTTCTACGGCTCTAATGACCACACGATGCTGAAGAGAAGGTGTGAGCAGTGACCTGGATTAATTGCAACTCCAGCTGAATTAACAAATTTATTTCCTGGAATCAGATGAGAAATCTAGTGCCTCCCACACGTGGAGAGGGAGGTCCCAGCCCCCGGCAGGTATTTCTCTGTGCTGGCTCTGTGATCGTCCACCCACACATGCTGTGATGGCTGAGGGCTGGAGTCTGCTCCAGGCAGAGGGGCAGCACTGGTGACCAGGGAGGGTGAAACATCAGCGTGTCCTTGGTCTGCTGGCCACAAATTTGTACAATAGGAAAGCTGGCAAGGGTGAAGTAGGGATTTAAATGGAAAAATGGATCCCAATCCCTGGCTGATATGGCAGAGTGTTTTTACAGCTCTTTCAGTGGAGGACAGCTAATCCAAGCCAGCTGAGGGCCTGACCTGTTAGCTTGTGCCTAGCCTGCGCAGAAATGCTTTAAATCTGAGGTCTGATCCTTACTGGAATGAAGGAGAATTAGAGGCTGGCTCTCTCTGAGAACCCGGATCCTCGTAAGGAGGATAACCCCAGGCCACGAGGCAGGGAGGTGACCTGAGATCCCACCTTGCTGTGCTGCCGAGGGGGTGTGCAGAGTTCACTGCCCACCGGAGAGCCATGTGCCATGCTCCTCCAGGCAGCTCCAAGCCGGTGTGGGGTCGCTCCAGCAAGGGCTGGAGGACATCACATCTACTTGCTGAAACGTGACAGCAGACAGATCTGGATGCTAACCTCTCTGCTGCTGGCTTTTATCTTCCCAGGCTGCTGCTGGTCCCAGCCGGTCCCACTAATTCCGCATGCTGCTTCCCACTTGGTCCAAGGGCCCCAGGAACTGCTACACCCCACTAACAGCAAAAACCTGACACTGAGTGCCATTTGGCTTGGCAAAAAAGGAGCGTGTTCCAGCCTCTCCTCCTTCTTTTGCCCTCTGCTGAATAAAAGCAAAGCTCAAGCTCTCAGAGTTCGCATCTCTAGGACTACATCTGCAGCACTTAGCCCTTTTCTCAAAACTTTTACTCATTGCTTCGGTTTCCTTTGCTAAAGAGATCTTACCGATTGCTTCGGCCTCTCGTTAGCCTGCCCATTTCTTCTTGAGTCATTCCCATGATGGTGGTTTTGTGCACTTCCTTTCAGTTACTGAAACAACTGCAGAATAGATTCTACTCCTTTGGTTTAGTTCAGGGCTGACTTACAAACAAATAGGGAGCAGGGCAAGGTTAGTCAGGCTCTAGGATGTGCAATTTTCATCCTTGGAGAATTTGGGAGGGCAGGTGTGCTTGGGGCCAGCTGAGAGGCAGGCAGGTTTGGCTGAGGCCATGGAGTAACTTTCCACCAGACTTCTCTCCAGACTGCAGGCGGAATAGCTGGTGCACTGAGTCACTTCAGATTTTTCCAGTCTTGAAGACTGGGCTGTGTGCTAACCAAATACCTCCATTTCCAGGCTGTTTGGGTGCTGAGGATCATGGCAGCGTGGGGAAGACGGGTCTCTCCAGGCTGCAGCCCCGGCTCTACGCAACTTGGCGCTGCAGCTGCTTCTCTGTGCCACCCGCTTCCATCGGAAGCGGGGAACACCCCCGCATTCGCTGATCCCAAACCCACTGAAGCCACCAGACCATCTCCCACTGGCTTCAGTGAGTTCTTGTGTCCTGTGCGCCTCCTGATGAGATGTTAGCTCTTAGCACTACAGACCATCCCTCTGGCACACTGTCTACTCAACTGGCTGCCCCTGCCTCCCTGCATCCACCCCGGGCCAGAGGAAAGGGAAAAGCGGTAAGACGTAGGATGGTGCAAACAGCATTCTACACGTTCTGCCTTCTTGGGCTGGGAACTGAAGTGGCTAAAAGCTCCCAGCCTGCAGGGACGTGACTTGGTCTGCTTTCCATACCAGCTGTGAACGGGCTTTCTCTTTCCTTTGACCATGCCTGGCATGCAGCAAGGCCAGGGAGCACGGGGGCTTGGGCAAGTTCTGCTTTTAGCTGAAAAAACAGTGGATGAGAACTAGTGCAGAAACACAGGAGTTGTTTGAAAACTGTTCCTCTTACCTCATCAAATACTTTGTTTTTGCCTCTATTGATCCCTTCATTAAGAGCTTTTATCCACGATTCTTTTTCTTCCGAAGTTGGAGCTTGAAATTTGATATCATGAACCTGCAAGAGCAGAGAGACAATTTTTGCCTAAGCATTCCTTGCCAGGAACAGAGAGGTAGCTCTCTGCTCTCTGTGTATCACTTCAGTTTCTATACAACATCCAGTCCAGCCTGTGTTTAAACTACAGATTCCTTTGCACTTTGGCAAGTACTTCACTTCATAGCTCCCACGAACAGGATTTTGTTATGCTGAACAGCTTGTTGCTGTAGTTTTATTTTTACAACTAGTACCTAAAGTAGAAAGAAAGTAAGAGTTTCTTCCTTCTGCAAAAGGCTCGGAATAGCTCTTAGAGCAGCAGTGAGCGGTACAGCAAATGGTCACACTGTGTATAGCGAGTCAGACTGAAAGTCCAAGTGATTTTGTGCTGGTTCGGATGCAATAAAGTACTTTATCTCCAACTTCCCCCCCTAGGCTGCAAGCGACAGGAAGGCTCCATGCAGCAGGCTCTGCCTGCTTCCCTGTTCCTGCGGCTCTGCAGAACAGAACTGATACGGGAATCCGGGGCTCTGACCTTGGCTGCACTAACCCCGATTCAGCTGAGTACGGACATGATGATTCTACGATGAGGCATAAGGGCAATGTAAGTGAAAAAATTAACCATTTCTGTTTGCAAATGAAGAAATACAGCAGTGAACACTACAGACATACACTCTCTGGGGTTTGAACAGCTGTCCTAAGAAGAAGGGAAGAGTTGGCCATAGAAGGGGGAGCTAGCAAGAAACATGGGACACAAATAAGGAGGGAGTGATGGGTGATTGTGTGGCCTGTCCTCCAGCCAGCCAACTCTCCCCTTCTTCCAGGACAGTCTCCTGGCTTTGCTTAGTGTTTCAAATCTCTTCTTGACCGCAGCAGGAACAATAGGTAGGGTGTTATTTACTTCACTGCTATGTTCTCTGAATACCTCACTACTATTATGTAGCTTTGCCCCAACGTACACTTCAGGTGAGAGAAATATCATCTTCACATTAGAGGTGGCACAACATTCACATTACATTATGGCAGACCGGCTTGGGTCCAAATAGCTCCATGTGGTGCCTTAATCCACACCGCACAGGCACTCAGAAATACTCTCATGCTAAAAAGCACCACCAAAGTTGCAAAATCAAGTACTTAAAAACTAGACAATCCCAACATTGCTGGGGCAGTCCTAACTCAGCCTGCTGTGCACGCTCCTCCTAGCACCATCCCTAATGACAGGGGTGGCACTTCTTACTGAGCTATCCCATCATGTGTTTTATCCTTGTGGGTCAATATGTCTTATTGATTGCACTCTGCTCAAGCCCTGCCCTAAAAACAGAATTACTGATTCCCCCGACAGTCTTGTCTTTGCTGCTTATCACTACAATATCTGGGGGCCTCACAAATTACTTTTCAGAGCAACTGAAATTATCCACCTCTTACAGGTGGGGAGGTGAGATACAGAGCTCATCCAAAACACATACCAGCAGGATCTCATTTGGAATAGTTTTTTGGGGGTATTTAACATCCTATAGGTATTCTGCACCTTCCCATTGTCTTCAAGAGCAGTTGTAGTCCCAACCTTTTTGTAAACAAGGCCCCACATTCTGAAATCACAGTACTGTCTACATAAAACAGGGACTACATAAAATGAGGGTGACAAAACTAACAGTGACTGACAGTTGAATGCTCTTAGCAGCTCCCTGTTTTGTTTGTGGCACAACAAAGCAGCAACTGTTTAGGGTCTCAGCAACTTCTGAAGTTACCATCCGAAATTCTGCAGAACTAAAGCCTGCTCTCCTTACACCCACTCCTGCTGTTTACCTAGAAACCTACTGTCCTTCTCTTCTGCATGTATTCCTCACTTCAGTGCCATGGTTTTACATCTGCACATCACAGTAACAGAGTGCGAGACCCTCACAACCAGCATGGCAAGCAGGGAGTTAAGAAGCCATTTGGGGAAATATTATTTATTTGATTAGTTTGCACATAAGGTGACGGGACCACATGTCTTCCTGAGAGCTCAGAGGAGATGTTAGGACCTGAACCACAGCCCTCTAGGAAAAGAGCCCTTTGTCCGGGGCACAGAAGGGCCACATTAACCAGGGAACCTACGGGAAGGCAAGGCTCCAAAACAGAGCGACAGCCAGATTTTGGTTTAGTTGAAGCAGGCCTGGTTTTGTGTGTGCTTAAAAACTTTTTTTGTTTGGAAACGATTTTGCCCCAAAGCTTTGTGATTATAAAAGCTTATGAGAAAGCTCTACTTGTGAGCAGCTGAGCTGCTGCACTGCCTGGCAAAGACCTGGCAGCCTGCACCAGGGTTTAGAAATCTCCGTACATGCTGTTCAAGGGAAAGATTCCTGCCTCACTTCAAGCTTCCTCTTCCAATGCCACTTTCTGTGCCTCATTCTCAGTCCCCAAAGAAAGCCTCCAAGACTGTGACTAAGCGCTGGTGTCAGCAACCCTGCGGCAGGGCAGAGCGAAGCCTCGGGGGGGATGGTTTGTCATTAATGAGAAGCTGAGATGTCCCTCTGGCATGCAACCCTCTGCCGCATGGTGTAACGCTGACCTACCGCTGCGGCCGCTGAAGGCAGACCCAACGGATGGTGGGGGGAAAGGGGACTCGTGGAAAGATGCTCCCAAGGCATCAGCAGAAAGAGCCCTCCGGTTTCCCGATGAGCTGGGTGAGGGAGGACAAGCAGCGTTCTGCGTGGGACCCCGCTCCCTGTGATGGGGCAGCACAGGCAGTGCCAGCCTCATGCTGCTGCAGCCCTGCTCCCTGCTTGCACAAGTCCCTGGGGCTGTGACACAGAGGGACAGCTTTGAGGTTTGCAGCAGGTTCCTCCCAGTATGCCCAGTTATCTTTCTTTGAAAACTTTTTTTCTCCTTTTTAGAACAATACCCACAGATACCAAGGAAGAGGCAGGCTGCTGGGGCTGAGGCTGGTGCTTGGGATGCTGCCAGCCAGCGTGTCTTTGTTGCCTCGCAGTCCCTTGTCTGTCTGCATTCATCTGTGGCTTGCGTCCTCAGCCACGGCACTGGGGAGAGGACGCTAACCGAAAGCGAGATGGAAGTTCTCTATAAAGCAGACGGCTGCAGAGGAGAGGCAGGAAGGAGCTGGAGGAGGTGATCTTGGTCCTGCCTGCCACTGGGGCTCTGTACCCTAGTCTGAGACCCCCAGGTCCTCAACAAACAAAGAACAAATGGCTGCATTTTCACTCATTTGAATATTCACAGATATCAGAGGATGCACTTGAAGAGGGATACTCCCCACAAAACATTAAGCAGGGTCTGTTCTCCAGCAGCAATTTAAAGTAGAGAATCAGCGACACCAACATAAGAGGGCAACAGGCAGGGTGACACATTTGCTCTCCTTTTGCTAAACCATCTGAGACTGAGTCATGCCATAAACAACAAGCGGGTGTGCCAGGAAAAGCTGTCATGGCTAAACCTAATGTGATAGTGACCATTGTAAGCCAGGAACACAGACTACGCAATTTACTGTCAGTTAACTCAGAGCACAAAAAATCTATCAGCACCTGCTTAATCACTGGCTACATGTCATGCAACAAGAAGCTCACACACGGGCCACTGTCCGTGATGGGAGCGAGCACAGTGTCCCCGACTGCTCCATGTCTTCTCAGAGACATCAGTCTCTTCACGCAGTGACACTCTCGTGGCTGTGCTGACCCCGCTTTCCAGGAAAGAGAAGTGTTCTCAGGGTCAGTCTGTTGTACCTGCACTAAATGATGTAACAGACAAGCTCTGGAGAACTGTACAGCTGCAGTTTAACGCCTTTACCAACGCTAGCTCTTAGCTGAGCAATTCTGCTAGATGCTGCTGATCTGCAGCAGGGGTGGGTGACAGAAACCTGTGCTTGCTCCTCAGCTGTTTGGTGTTGGCCTCAGTTCAGTGGGGCTGGGCTAGACTGGACTGTGAACTGCTTGTGAACTGCTAGTTTAGGTGTGGGAACGCGTTCCCTTGTGCTGACTTTTGGTACAGGGTGGTCACCTCCAGCAGAAGCCAGAGCAGAGCTGGGTCAGTAACACTTAAACTACCAGGAGCGCACCAGAGTCTATCTGCCAGGTATCTGCGAGGTCATCTCCTGCCTTCTTCTACATGACTTTGTCAAGTTGGATCATGGAGGAAAAAGTGGAAGCCAAGGGACTGTCAGTTAGGGGATTCTTGTGGTTTTCCGCAGCTGAACCAAGAGCTACCTCATCCCTGGGAATAACACAGCAGCATCTCTGCCAAACTGGCAGACCCCAGGAGCAGACTCCTCCATGCACAGGGCAAACGTGCCTCACTGCACTCTACTGCAGCTTCCAGGCTGGGCCCCTGGTGAAGGCTGCTGCAGGTGCCTCCAAAGTCGACTAAGGCAAAAATAAAAAAAGGAAGTTTCCACCCCTGACCACAAGTGAGGATTTTGTGCCTGGCCACGCAAGGAAAGGATGCGTGGGGAGCTGCAGTGCTTGCTCATGGACTTTTTCCTTTACTACCACTCTTTTTCTTCCTGTTCCTAAGACTTCCCTGCAGCTAAAGACTTTCAGACCTGCTGAATGCCAGACTTGTGCCAATCTCTGTAGTGTCCAGGCAGTTTACACCAAGCATCATTTACATGGCTTTTTGCATTGTGAGTATGCTTTAAAGTCTCCAGGCCAAGTCTGCTGCCCTTTCTTACAAGCTCAGCTCTCTGCATCCAACAGTTTTCATTTAATTGCTGCGGGTGGAATGAAGCATTTGAGATTTGTAAGCAGAAGGGGTATTTTGCATACTCCCAGCAGTACTTTGTTTCAGCTCCACACAAGCGCAGGTGTGTGACATGCTCATATTGTCACAACTTAACAAAAATATCATCCTTGTGAACAGGACAAGCAGAATCTGGGGTACATCCATCAAAGACCAGTGTTTAGCAAGGCAACTTATTCAGGTGCAATTCCAGCTGCAGAGTGGTTTTAACTGACTGATTCAAGCCCTCTGCTCTTTAAGAATATCCCATCCAAGATTTAAACCGGGATTCCCCTACAGCTAAACTGGGCTCCCTGTTTTCAATAGGGAAATTCCTACTTGTGCACTGAAACAGCAATGCCCTTTCCTAGCTTGTTTGTAAGTCCCACAAACTCACTGGCTTTCTGCATTCCTCAGCGTTGTGCTCAGAAGAGGGGGCAAAAAAAAACCCTAGCAAGACCTGGCATGGTTTGGCAAGGCAGCTCCCGGGGTGATTTTAAACTGTGGATGGCAACAAGCCTCCCAAATGGAAAATGTTTAGCTGATATATATCGCCACAGCTGCAATTTCAAAACAGAAGAAGGACAGTTGTGTACATTGGCCCCCTAATTGAAGCCTGTTCTAACATCTGCCAAAGTATGTTGTGTGTCAACACCCTCACCAGATTCCCAGCCAAAAGGAGGGTGGGAGGGGAGCTACAAACAGGGAACTTTTCATTTATAAAAGCCCTTCCTTTCACCAAAAGAGCCTTATAAAATGTAGCCTCTATCTACATCTCCATTTAATCAGTGGCATGAAAAACAAGGGAGCTGTAAACTTGCCAGCATGCCAAAAGGATGAAGTTACCCTTTCAGGGCAGAGTTTGAGCACATCTTCCTTCTAACAAGAAATGTAAGGTTTAGGAACAGGTCTCACACCCTGTGTTGATTGATGCATCAGTGCAGAGACATATGCAGCTATTACACACTTCTCTCTAAGTAACATACTCACAGATAATAATAATTCCTACCGTGCTGCCCATCTCTGAGCACACAGGCTTTTATTCGCCTTCCTGGGAATACATGTGCACTTGTAGTTACTGGTACACTTGTAGTTACTGAGCCACCCTCTAGAAAACACACCAAGCCCACCAGGGTTAGCCACTTTAGATCTAAAATTGACATTATTTCTGATTAATCAAGTTACAAACCAAACGCTAACCCTCCACTCGACTGGAGAGACTCACTGCTCTGGGATCTGGTGCTGAGCAAACTTAGCCCAGGGTGCAAATTTCCAGGCTACCATCACTTTGGTGTGTGGTGCTTAATATCACTTTTCTCCCCGATACAGACTGCGCCTCCTTGAAACACGAACATCATTCATCTTCTCTCTCCACCCCCACCCTGGACCATGTGAGTGTTTCGGGGCAGGACAGTCCTTGTTTTGTTGTTTTGAATGAAGTTTAGCACAATGATGCTCTGAACTTAGCTGGGGTCTTATTATACCAATAAACACTGAGTGAGTGGAGTGAAAGAATAAGCAACAATGACAACAATGACTAAACAACCTCCATTTATTTAAACAAAGTGGAGATGAGGGAATGCAGGCAAGTTGGTATTTTTGCCTGTTCACATTCTTATGGAAATGAATATGTTTTGTCCCTCACAACCTCTCAGATTTGCATGGGGAGATTTAAGGAGAACTCTGATGCCAATAAAATCACATTTAAATTAGAATGTAAGTCAAAGTGCAATGCATCAGAACAACAACAGAAGCATCCTAGCCCATAAAGGTGCTGAAAAGGATGGCGTCTAAGTGGGAACTAAGGAGAAGTTCTGAAGATATGTAGTGATGATGAACCTACATAGGAAATAAGTCAAGCATGTCCTGGCGTACAGTCAGTGCTCAGATGGATGTCTAACTTCTTTGCAACACCAGCCTGGCTGTTAGGTTCTGGATCTAACCAGATGCTGTGCAGGACACTAAAGATGTAGAGTATTAATAATTCTGCAAAATAAATCTTTTCTCCTAGGAACTGTTTGGCTGCAAGTAACTTTGCACTGGAGTTTCTCAGATCAACAGTTCCAGCTCCGGGAATGTCTCAGTACATGGACTGGGATCACTGATTTCACTGGAACTTCAGCAAAGCCACAGCATGTACAGCTGGGACAGGGACACTTTCTCGCCCAGAGCACATGGGGGAACCACAGGGAATGGTCATTCTCCACTGCTCAGGGGGTACTGGAAGAAAGAAAATGATGAGGCAGGAAATATATCAAGAGGAAAAGTTGAGTGGCAGGAAGACCCCTTCCCCACCACAAGAACAAAGTCTACAAGACAGTAGTGTTCCTCCTTACACGCTGTAGACCATTCACAGCTACGGGTCATTTCTCCCAGCTGCCAGAGAGCCAAATCTCAGAGCCTTTCATCTGCTCTAGGCGCAGCTGCCTGGGAACTCATTTTGGAGTCTGCAGACTTGAGGGTGATGAGAAAGGCAATCCTACCTTCTTACCAGGGGAGCGGATTAAAATGAAACGGTTTTTCTTTTTTAGTAGTGCACGCAGTTCCTGGCACTTGTCATAACTCTCCAGTTCCACTGTTTCTATGCACTTCTGTTCATCCTGCAGAGAGGGAATGAAACATTATTATGAATATAGGCATTGAAATCAATCATATACCATCAAACTCTGCATGTCTTCCCGTTGCATCTGTCTAAAAGCTCTTCTGCTTTAAAAATAACCTGCATGCAGACAGCAAGCCCCCATAAATCAGGCTGGCATCTCACTAAGAAAACACCCTAGTCTTTAAGCTACACACCGATTTGCGACTCGTGGTCCATAGTGGCTGAGCAAATAACACGCTGTGGACAGTAACACCAGCTTCTGCCATCTCTGTTGGCCGCATCCAGGGAACTTCAGCCACAAGGAAGGTGGGAAGGTCTTTGCCCATCATCCTGCCCCAGCCAGAGGCTGAGAATGTGCTGTCAGTCCTTCCATAGGAAGGAGGAATCTCATGATGCACTTTTCTAAACCTTCCTGGCATGATCTCAGAGTGCTCCCCAGGCTTCCCCTTAGCTTGGCGACGCTGCCTCCTCCCCACAATGAACGCAGGAGATGTTATTCTGCATTTTCACAGGGAAGACAACACAAGCATCATGATGGTCCAGGCAGCCCCCCCAGGATGCCCAAGGCAGAGCGGAGATAGGAGGTGAGCCCTGCTGCCGCACCGAGCCTCAGCAAGGTCAGTGGGAGCCACGCGCAACTGGGACATGCTCCTCTTGCAGCCACGCTCCGAGCTGTCAAAATGCTTAGGATTGGAAATACGGTCCTGTACAGCCAGCAAAACTGTCAGGGCCAGCGTCTCAGTGGGGAATATTTATCTCTGGTGTATCTCCACTGATGACTGCCGGCCGCGATCTTGGCTCATTTCTCCCAGTAACATAACTAAAATTCCAGACGTGGTGCGTGGCTCAGTTCAGCTGTGGAGCACCATCCCTAATAGGAATCGCAGTGTAACACTGGGCAGATAGTATTCTTCATGTCTCAGTAGCCCAGAAGAGACCAAAGCTCCCTTTTCCTAAGTATTACACAAATAAGCAGTGAGAATCGCAGAGCAGTTCTTGCTGGTACAGTGCTACAGTCAGGGTGCCTCATGAACCTATTACCATCCTAAATTAAACCCGCTGGCCCTGACCATGCCCAGCTCAAGCTCTGCTCCCAAGGCAGTGCCTCATCCCGTACGAGTTTGTATTTAGCAATTCCTGTAGCGGACAGGGGGGTGGGATGAGGAAACATGTCGTAGCCAGGAAGCTGCTGCGTGGCTGGAGGCAGGGAATGGAGAGTTCAGAGGGAAGTGGGCTGCGGGGAATTTCCTCCCTTTACCACTTGACATTTAAGTCGCTGTGCAGAGCTCAGGCTGCGTTTAGTTTCTTTTAACCCTCCTATCTGGGGACGGGGATGCGGCACAGCCAATACCAGTACGCAGAGCAAGTTCGGAGCCACTGAGGGATGTCTGGATCTAATTTAGGTTTATTATTTTAATGACATTACTGTTTATTTCATTTAACACTGAGTAGGTGAATGTGACCAGAGAACTGGGAAAATGTATACTAGGAGGAGGAGATTAATTCTGCTCAAACCTAAAACCTAGCCGATAAAATCCTGCTGACATTACTGAGCCCTTTGAAGGCACAAGGCTCCTGCTACAATCCTGGTATCGCAATGTCACTGCGAAAGGACAGGGATGGAAATAATAACCCCTCAGCGGCCAACAAATGACAGAGAAGGGTGAGGTCAGGAATACATGCCTCGGGGATGGGTGATCTCATCCTGGCCTTTGGTGGACGACCGCCCACATCACAGCACTGCCGCACGGCCAGTGCGGTTACCGGCTCCAACACGGAATTTTGCTGGACTCAGGATGCAGGTGGCTCAGCAGCACTCTGACCAGAGACCGGCACGAAGGCTCCTGCCCACCCTACCTGCTCTCGAGAGCAGCTCTGCCTGCAGTGGAGCCCAGTGGCTCCATGTCACCCTCCTTGTCCACGCCATCCTTCCTGCCTCTTCCAGGCCACGCGAGCTGTCCTCCACTTCCTAAGAACAGTGGAGCACTGAGCTGGGAGACAAGAAGGACTTGGCAGGGTGGAGAGTTGTGGTTTTGCCGTGATATCGCCTCTTTCCTTCCAGCTGCCCCCCTGCTCCCTGGGGAGGCTTTGGGGACTCTGGCCTGGCCAGAGAACAAGTGCAGTGAGGACAGGGACATGCAGGACTCCCAGGGGCATGGGGTTGACTGTGCAAGCTATGGCTCCTTCATCGTAGAGACCTGAACTTCTCAAGTAAATACTTCTCTTCAGGGAAGGTGAGGAAGAAAGCAGCCAGAGAAATAAGAAAACTCCATGTTTGAGGCAAAGGAAAAGCATCTGAGTTCAGAGAGCGCCAGAATGGGCCTTTTGTGTCTGTTTTATCCTTGGCAAGAGGCCATCCCCTCTCTGTGAGCCTACCTGAGTCACAAAGAGATCCTTTATGTTTGTCCTGCACCACTAAGATAAAGACCAAAGGGCCCAACCCTGCTGCAGGTCTCCAGGTCCCTTCAGCCTCCTGGGACCTGGAGGATACTCAGCATCACGCAGAGACAAGGTCGCTTCCAGAGTCCTGCCCTGGCACATGGGTCTCAGAAACATGTTCTGGACAAGCTCCCTCTCCATTTGGTCTCTAACATCCCAAAGAAGTTAAAGCAATCCTTTTATATCATCCTGAGACACAGGTTGAGTCCTCACTTGGTGGTCGCACCTCCCTGCAGCACACAGCTCGCAGGGCTGTCCCACAGCGTTGCATTTGCTGCCTATCAAGGCAGGGAATTCCCTTCAGGCCACCTTTCTCTTTTTCTCTACACATTTCAGGGCTTGTTTTTTAAATTGCTTTTGTTCTTGCTGTGAGGGACAATCAATAAGACACATAAAATCCTGATACAGAAAACCCTACATTCATGATTTAATGCAGAAAACCAATTCCATTAGCTATTCGTGGAGCAGACACTTAAACATGTATGTGTCGAAGCTTGGCCCTTAAGAAGAAAATTACTAAACACCTAAACATATTAATGCATGTACTTAACCAAAGAAACACACTTGGCAAACCATTTCCTTAATGAAAAGTTGATAAAAAGGGGAAAAAGGCCCACTGAAATTTTTAGACCTCTTTGCTGACACACATTCATGGGCTCTGACCCTCCGTTCACTGTACAATGTCTAGACTGCCTGAAAGAATAATTTACTTCTCTAGCTGAGGATCTCAAAGCATTTTAATAAATCACTTTTGGGTATACATTGCTATCACTTTACCAGGGGCAAAACGCAGATATTAACTGCATGACTGTTAAATGCTGCATAGATCCTCTGGTTTCTAGACTCTTTGTCTAGTAGATTTTTTCCCTGTCAAATAATACACTTAAAAAAACAAAACAAAACAACAAAAAACAACTCTAACCGCTAGCCGCACTGTTTAGGGAAAACAAAACCAAACCCCAGACTGATGCTCTCTAATCCGTGGAGCGATGATATTCATCTGTGTAGTCTCTCTGCATAGGATTGCCTGTTATTCAGATGCTCTCCATAGTTGTGCGAGACTTAATTTTTATTCCAGCAAGAATATGCAGAACCAAGACGACAAGGAGCACCGTTAGAAAATAACCTGCCTGCTTGGTTCTTAGTTTACGTGAAGGTACAGATGTGGGGTTCTGTAGACGGACGCACAGCAGATAACAAGAAATCCATCTCCCTTCATTTCACATCCGCTGAAAGAAACCTGAAGCCCGGTGGGATGACTTTCACCCCCCCACACATCTGCTGCAGGTAATACAATAGCCATTTGCAATTTGGTTTCGGGAGGTGGCTCCACTTTAAACCAAACCCAAAGCCTGACTAACAGATGCAATATGGGAAACACGCTCCCAGGGCAGGTCAGGAGTACGTTCCAGGAGATAGCTATTGATGGTGATAAATTTGTGTTCTACTCAGACTGTACTTTCTGGTGACACGGTACAACATTGCTGCCTGCCTCTCGTGTTGACCATCCCCTCTGCTCTTGTTTCGCACACACAAACCTCATCCACAAGCGCAGCCAGCCTCATGCAATTGCATAAACAAGCATGCCTGCGTATGAAACAACTGCTAAAGGCTTAACACCTCTTTGTGAAGGGCTCAAACACATGAGGGACTGATAAAAGCACAGAGCGTCCAAGTCACTAGCTCAGTTCCTGGAAATCTGATGGGCTCAGACCAGTTGACATGCTCAGCCTCTAAACCTGCCCTCCCACATGGAAGCTGACCTCCCTCCCATTTAACCCATGTAGGTCTAACTTAGGATGCATACAGAAAAATGCTTGTATTTTTGTTGCCTGCGGTTTTATCTCCTTTCTTTTTCTAGGGCCCCAAATCAGCAAGCACTGAACAATCCCATTTGAAAACGTTTCAGCCTGAGGATGGTCTGGGATGCTGTGCCCGGCTCCAGGATGCTGTGTCTGGCTCCAGGCTCACAAGAAGCAGGGCAGGTATGTGGAAAAGGTCCAGTGGGGGAAATGGAAGCTGGAGCTCCAGAAATAAAAGCCACCGTAGCACGCTGCACCAGACTCTCCTTTGACATTGGGCAAGGCCCTCCTCATCTCAAAAACTCAGTTCCCCAATTGTAAGACGGAGACAGCAACACTGCCCTAACTCACGGTAGAGGAAGATAAATACAGTAATAAACATGAACTGCCTCAATTCTGTGGCGACGGGACCCCTCCTGAGTGCAGAAAATTGCCATTTCCTTTAGTTCCCCTGTAGTAAGTCGGCACAATCACATGCTATCCTATTGTGCTACCAGATAATTTTGTAGCAATTTCCTCTCCTAAGACATTTGACTTCGCTGTAAGCCAGTTTAATAGCCTATAGATATTAACATGATCCCTTATTTACAATAATGGGACCTTGTAGCTACTGTAGCTTACAGATGCAATTTATTACAGGATGCTACCACAATCCGCAGGCTACCAGAAAACATTATGCCTGCTTGTTACAAATGCCATTTTCCTTGTTGAGATAATAAAATAAGCCTTTAAATGATCGGGATTTTTCCTTTTTCTGAACGTCTGTGAAAATTAATCTTACTTTAAAAGCCTCCTTTTCCCTTGTGGTAATGAGAGCCTCCATATATCTTGTTTTTAAAGGCATGCCCTTTAAAAAAAAACAAACCCTACGTCATGTTTATAGATTTTAAATCTGTGAGTTCCTGAAGCTTCAGCTGGAGTCAACAGGTGTCCGGGGCACTGGGCAGCAATCTGCAGAGAGTCAACCGTTTGCAGGACCAGGCTGCATCTCTCTGCGTAACAGAAACCCCCACCGCTTCGCCTGCCTTCCAAGCTGCTCGTCACCTGACATCGTCTTCTCATTTCATTATTCTTGCACCCTTCACGATATTTCAAAACTAAGAACAAAGGCCTCCGGAAAGCTTTGGCATTCGGGAAGAGCAGGAGGGTTCAGCGTATGGGAGGAGGTAATACCCTTTAACCTAAACCATTTATAACAAACTTTCTTTATTAGGCAATAGTATGTTTTTAAAAAAAGAGAACCAAACTCATTTGTCAGTCCTGTTGTTCCTGAAACCACCACAGCAATGCAGTTGCTGAAACATTTCCCCATTCTTCTTCCCTTGACACACCACACAGAAGCTTTACATGATTTTGGTTTTGTATCATCCTGATGCCCACGAATGACCCAGATCCCCTTGTGTCAGACACCGCACGGGCACGTGGTCCTTGTGCAGACCACGCAGTGAGAAATGCTTCTCCATCATGATGCACGCACAAACTTCCAGCCACCATAAACCAGCAGGGCTTGAACTTCAAGCCTAATCTCAAATCTCTCTGGGTTGTAGCTTGTGCTCTGCACTGTAATTTCTAACTTTTGGGGCAAACCCTGCTTTGGCAGAAGCCTTTTCCAGCCCAGGAACTGAGGGCCTGACTCAGGAAAGAGCCACATTTTTTTGCAGCCCGGCTGGACCAGCCCTGCCGTCTCCATTCTTCTTGCATGAAGATGCAGGACAGATTTGGCTTGGCTCTTATTTCTCATTTGATTGGAAACAGCTCTAAATGAGGCCGTGAACTTAAGGCACGCAATTTATCTAGGGATAAAGGACTCCCAGGGGTCCTTCGCTCAGTACTGGCTCAAGTAAAGGGAAAAGATGAGCCAAATCCAGACTGTGTCCCTGCTTAAGGAGGACAGCAAGCACTCACAATCTCACCCCGCATCCATCGTTAGCTAAATAAAACCCTGAAAACTCTGGCTAGCAACAATTTGAGCTGCTTGAGGGGTGCCAAACAGCTGCAGGGTTGCCTGCTGTCCCCTCAAGCGGCAGGTGGGAAGTTGGGCTGCTACAATCCAATTTTATCCTTTAAACGCCAAAAACGCATAGCACATATCCTGCTTCCGCCCAAAGCTTTGCTCTGTTCGCCGCCTCACAGGATGTCCTGCCCCCATATTATTTTTTTTTTTGGCAATGGCTCTGTCAAAATATTTACTGGCTAAAATATTTATGATAGTATATATACTCTAAAATGCAGCTGCTGTCTCTTCTTTATAGCATTTACCCTTCCTGGAGATAACTGGAGAAGCCCTTTTGAAAGGAATGGGCTGGAGGAAAGACTGAAAAAACGCAGGAATGTGTGTCACCAAGGGCCTGATCCTGCCCCTCATTCAAGGTCATTAGCTGTGACCATACCTCATCCTCATAGACCACGAGCTGTGTTTTCCGTAGCTGGATGTAACGATCCTTCCACAATCCCAGGAGTCCCCCACTGCTTTTCTTAATCCAGCCATACTTCTCTGCAGTCGGAGCAGACTTTGGTTTCTCTGAGCTCTCCTCCTTTGTATCCTGCAAGGACAGAAGGGAGAATGAATTACATCAAAAGCACTTTCCATCCATTTCATGAAGGTCACCAGAAAGCCTGCCCAGACAAGACTTCAGCACCCACCACGCGTGGTCCCTCCCCACCACATCGCAAGGGAAAAGACTGGCATCTTCCAGAGGAAATCTCAACCAGCTTCCACCCTAGAGCTACCACAGGACCAGGGAGTAAGCATGGACCCTGGCCACCCCTGGAGACACTGTTGGGATGGCAGTAAGTCCACCTTGCTCCTCTGCTTCCCCAGTGGCTCTGCTCCCCTCTCCGTGGAGGTGCTCCCTGCTCACTTGTGAACCAAATGCTCCTTGAAAATGAGCACTGTCCTCTCTGCTTTGCTCCTCCATCTCTCTGATAAACCCCAGCGGGACGGATCCTGCTGGCATCAGTAGCAATACTCATATTTTAGCTCACGGCCACTTCTGCAAGCTTCTCCTCTAGGTCTCTGCGTTTGGTCATCGCCCCCAAACCAACTCCCATGGGCAAATCCACAGCATGAAGGCCAGGACTTCATCACATCCGCACTAAAACATTCCCAGTAGGCTCCTGTGTGGTTTGTAGGCAGAGGGAAGGACTGGCAGAGAAGGCAGCACCAAGAGTGGGGATTTTTTTTGTCCCACCTTTAGCTCCCTGCTGTTTGTCACAGTCTGCTCTCACCCACCCGCAGCAGCACGGGGAGCCCCAGCATCCTGCACTGGGAGCCTGCTGGCTTTCCAGGCCTGGTAGAAACCAGGAGATGCATAACTTCCCTGCTTGGAAAAAAACATCAGAAATATCCAATATCAATATTCTCATCAAACGGAGACAGGAAACCTAAGACGGGGAGCGGGGGCAGCAGTCAGGTTTATTAGCTGAGCGCCTTCACCAGCAGACTCTGTTAAAGATGAGTTTTCCTCCTTTCCAGTGCGCTGGAAGAGCCTTTGCAAAAGCAGGATCCCCATTTCCCCTCCCTTGGAGCACCCCGCTGCTCCCAACACCCCACAGACCCCTCAATAAGCCTCCTTCCCCAGAGCAAGGCCAGGGGAATCCCTCACTGCGCCAAATCCCCTTACGCAAACTCCTTGCCAACCTTGTGACTTGTAAGGAGGGGCCAACCCCAAATCCTCCAGCCTCCTCCCAAAAACCCCACTGTCCCCCCAGACTCGGTTTCCTCCCCGTCTCTATCAGTAATAGCAGTCCTGCCGCAGAAAGCCAGCGCATTTGCACAAATCAAGGATGCAGGACAAAGGCAGAGCCCCAACCATCCCCAAACAGCCCTCGCTAGCTGCTGAATGAAACCTTTTCTGGTAGGAAAAAAAAAAAAAAAGCAAACATAACCAAACTGGGGTTGCTGGAGCTTAGACATCATGTTTCATAACATGAGGAAATCCCATGTGCATGGAAAGGAGTTAGAGCCGGACGCTCCTGTGGCCAGAAGGGAGTGAGGACAGAGTGAGTGAGTACAGAGGAGCTCCAAAAATTCGGAGGAGAGCCTTGCTAACAAATCTGTTTTCATGCAGCAGACTCTTAATGAACACGCCCTTGGACAGCAGCTGCCATCGGAGTGAGCTGTTACTCTCTAAAGAGGGAACTCACACCCATAAAAAAGTGGAAAAACAGATTAAATACCCTATGCTCTCGCGTTTATCCCAATCCCTGCTAAAGTCGGGAAGAGGCTTGGCTTTGAAGGTAGACTTAGGTGCAGACTGGGAACAAGAAACTCAAATAAACCATGTATCACCTAAAAGAAAATCAGGCGGAAACCTGTAACATCCTTGGCGCCCTTTGTAGAAGTTATTTCAATTGTGCCGAGCCGTGTTTGAAACGGCCACAATACAGGATGACAGAGCATGAAAAAGTTTTCCGGGAAACGAGGGGGACTGCGTGGGTTTTTTTAAACTTGACTTTTTAGGTTGCCAGGAAGTTGTATTCAGTTGTGATCTGCGACTTCAGCAAACATCAATTGCTGCACAAATATAGACCTGCTGGTTTCCTGATCGAGCACCCTTTTGAAGTAATTTTTAGATAATTGGGCATGGACTTTAACCTCCTGCATGGCATGGATGTAGCTGTACGAAGAGTTTATTTGAGTGACTGTAACCCAACATCTGCCAAAATGCTTTTACTCCTTAAGCATTTTTTTTGCCTTGCGGATTAATTTTTCCTGCTCTTTTTCCTCACCTGCCAGAAGGGCTATCTGAAATCACACAGAAACTATGTCTATCCATGGTGTCTCCCAGTGCTCTGCTGAGTGCAAACTACCCCGTCTCCTCTAGTTTTAATATAAAAGCGCTCCCTGTGAAGAGGCAGCACTTAACATCTACCTCTGGAAAAAACCAACCTGCCCCGATAACTGTTTTTGTTGGAATTGGGGTTCCTGCCTGCACTTCTGCGCAAGGCAGAGCTGCAAAGTCAGGGCAGAGCTCGTCTGGCCAGCTCTCCAGCCAGCCGGGGACATCTGGGGACAGTACCTCCCCTCCGTGGCACTGCAGGGTGGCTTTGCAGCCCACCTTCTCCCCAGGCCACCCGGGAGCCCTGGTTGGAGCCACCCGCCTGGAAGGAGCTGTGCATGGGGTTCCCTCCACACCAGGCAGGACTTCCCGGCCGTGCCGGGAGCATCCGCAGAGAGGATCCGTGACTCCGAGCCCCCACCTGCCCCAGCTGAGTGGCTCAGGAGAGGGAAGGCGAGATGAGATGGAGAGCGCTGGTCTCAGCAGATGAGAGCAGCCACGAGCAAAGGGCTCTGCCCCCAGCACTCCACAGGAGTCGCCTGAGATGCCTGGTGCCTCCTCCGGTCCCCGCTCTAAGACAGATGTGACGGGTGCGATGCTGCGCTCTGCGGGTGCCGGCGGCTGCCGAGCTGCCCGGGGTCTGGGTCAGCAGCTCCCACCTTGCACGCACACACAGCACGTCGCAAGATGGGGGTGCAGTTGCTGTAATCCCTTGCCTGCAGGTTAAGGGCGTAAAAAAAACCCCAGATGATGCAACTCGACTGCTTGTTCCTGCGAAAGCAAGAAGAGTCTCGGAGATGGCGCCTGACAGATTTTGTGGATTGTTTTTATGGCCAGTTCACACCCTCCCTGCCCTGAATCAGCGAGGGGAGGTTGGCCAGCGAAGGGCATCGAGAGGGGGGCTTTGCATCCGCCCTGCACTCTCTGCCTGCGATTCCACAACTAAAACCGAAGCACGGCACAAAGAGATGAGTTGCTGTTGTTAATTCAGCTTTATGTGGCTATTCCTTCTGCAGGAAATACTAAGATATCCTCTCCGGGATGTTCTTGGGCTGGATTCCTTCCTGACGCTGGTGTAAATCCATGAGAAGAAACCCACTAGCATCAGCCAAGCAAGCCAGCATAAACGAGAGAAGAACGAGTTATCCCGTTGCTGGCTCATGCCGAAGGCATCGCTACCAAAACCAATCCATATGAGTCAATTTTGCAATTTATGTTATGGTGGCATTAGAAGTGAAACATGAGTTTCCCTCTTCCAGCCTGGTTTACACTCATGTTTCGCAGCTCAGCGGAGATGCCGAATTAGGGGGACAGAGAAGCTTTTTATTTAACCATTAGGCAGTTATTTCCCCCTGCCCCTGTATTTTAAGGGCCCACAAACCCACATATTTTTCACGTCTTCCAACAAAAAAAAAAAAAAAACAGCTGAATCTCAGTGGTGCTTTTACAAACTACATAGAGCGCACAGAAGTGTCCTGCCCAGTTACAATAACTTCATATAAAGCAAGCAGCTCATTTATCGCATACTCCTCTCTAGCAAGGCATTGATGAACACCTCCCAGGAGACAACCTGCATCTGCAGACCTCAACTCTTTTTCTCCCTTTCCACGTTATCTTCCAAGCCCGGCTCTCAGCACTTCCACTTCTTCCTGACCCGCAGGAGCAAAACCATCTCATTGGAAACAAACTGCTCAGATCCACGTGAAACTTGGGAAACTGCAGCTGACGCCCCCTCCTGAAAGCGATCACCAGAGGGTTCATTTATCGTTACGAAGAGCCGCCGGTCAGTGCTGGGGAGGCAGCACCTTGCCAGCCCTCCTCACTCCCAGACCCCAGAGACCTCTGCGAGGGCTGGGGTGGGTGCGAAGCCCCTTTGGGCGGCGGGTGCCAGCTGGAAGCAGTTTCTCTGCTGTGGATTAATTTCATGGATGCTGGTGGATAATAACAACTCTCGGTCGCTACCAACTTGGGCTGCTTTGCAATCTCCCCGCTGTTTTTAGAAAAGCTCTCATTCTTGCCACAAAATGTTGAGAGCCGAAATAAGGGGGGGAGGGGGGAAACGGGGGGAGGAGAGACAAGCCACAGCTACTGGCATCGCATGTACTAGAGCCTGAAGTCCTCCGGCAGTCTGCCCTACCAGGAGCTTTCTTTTTGTGTGAGAAGCAAAACCTCATTTAAGGAAAGGAAGCAGGAATAATTGCGCAGCCAGATGAGGGGAGAAAACGACCTGTTTAACTTGCTAACAAATTTGTGGCACCTTCATCAATCCGCACAGGGATGGATTATCGGGGTGTGATCCCACGGACGTGAAAACCTACGTGTGAAAGGAGAAGCACCACTGCCCTTCTCCGAGTTCAACCCGTCCCGGGCAGAGACGGAGGAGGAGGACAGACTTGGGGAAGGCTTCTAGGTATGTGGACATGGCCAAGCTTGCGGTCTGACCCAGGCCCAGCTCCAGTACGGAAGTACAACACCCCAGCAAGAGTCAGCACAAGGTGGCCTGAGCAAGCGTGGCATCTGAACAAGCCCGATTCTGCCAGCACTCGCCCTCCGCCAGCGTTTGCCCGCCAGCCTCACCGGGCCGGTTGGCAAGTTAAAAAGATCCGACGAGCTCTCTCGGGATGCTGTGCCCCGGCCACCGCCGGCGGCTCCCACGCACCCGGGGGACCGCGGAAG